GTGAGTTCGCTCTTCGTAACTGTGTGCGTGTGCTCTCTGTGCCTGTGTTTGTGTATGTTTGGAGAGAGGGAGTGGGAGTGAGAGCGAGTGGGAGTGGGAGTAAGTGGAGGGAGAGAGGGAGAGTCAGGAGAGAGTGGGAAAGGGGAGAAGGAAGAGTGAGTGAGAGAGCGAGTGGGAGTGGGAATGGGAGAGGGGGTGGGAGTGGGAGGGGGAGGGGGATTAGGGTGGAGAGAGTGGAGAGAGGAGAGGGAGAGAGTGGAGAGAGAGAAAATAGAGAGAAATAGAGGGAGAGAATAGAGAGATAGAAGAGAATAGAGAGAGTAAGAGAGAGTAAGAGAGAGTAAGGAGAGAGAGAGAGAGAGAGAGAGAGAGAGAGAGAGAGAGAGGAGAGAGAAGAGAGAGAGAGAGAGAGAGAGAGAGCGAGCGAGCGAGAGCGAGAGAGATTTGTTATATAATGATGGACGCGAGAGCTAGTAGTTAAGTCCTTAGAAATGTGTCAGTGTTTACAAACATGTCCTGCTCTTGATCTTGTATGTATACGCAAGAGCGTTATACCTGCACGCGCAACGCCCAAGCTATTTATTTACCTTCCTCACGAGGGGCGTGTCTCCCGCGCCGCCCGAAGTGTGCTGCGGGCCTTGGCTAGCGTAAAGGGCGGCGGTAATTGGCGGCTACATCAGAGGGACAAGGGGCGCCCCTGTTTCCTCAGGTTTACAAGCCCCTCTCTTCCCTCCCCCGAGCGTTTGCCCCCCTCCCCTCCCTCTCCCCGTGGCTCTAGCATGTCCATTTTGCCTGCCTCCTACTCCTATCCCTGCTCCTACTCCTGCTTCTCTCTGTTCGCTCCTGTTCCCTCCTGTTTAGGCTGTCCCTGACACTCGCCATGTCCCCACCCTGGAGAATACCCCTCTCCCTGCCCCTCCCCTTCCCCCCCTGCCTTACTGTACCGCCTTATCTATGCAACAGCCCAACCTCGTTGATCTGTCGTGAAAGCTATTGCATGCAATGGGACAGGGCAATAGCCAGGGCGTGGGATGTTTCTGTCCCCACATTAGCATTATCATCATTATCATTCAGAAGGGTACGGCGCCCGAGTCAGCGATGCAGCGGCGATATCAGGGAGCCACACATCACGTCCCGGTGGTTGGTCCCTGGGCGACAAGGCCAAGGCAGGGCGGGGGAGGGAGGGGGCTAAGGGAGGGGAGAGAGAGAAGGGGGAAAGGGAGGGGAAGGGAAGGGAAAGGAAGGGAGAAGGACTAGGGAAGGGAGAGGAAGGGAGGAGACGAAGGGATAGTGAAGGGAAAGGAAGAGAGAAGGATGAGGGAAAGGAAGGGAGGGCGAATATCAAGGAGGGAAGGGAAAAAGGAAAGGAAATGGAAGGAGATGGAGAAGGAGAAATAAGGAAAGGGAAAGGGAAAGGAGGAGAAGGGAGAATATCAGAAAAAGAAAAGAGAGAAGAGAAAGAGAAAAAAAGAGAAGAAAGAGAATAGAGACGAGAAAGAGAGAGAGCGAGAGGCCCAGCTATCTGTCTTGGTAATCACGGAACTCCATCATGGGATGCTTGTGTCAATAGCGTGTTGGGTTACGCCACCATTCCCAGGACACACGAGGTGCTATTGCGGGGTTTCCGACGCCCCCGAAGAGCCACGACGAAACGGGGAGGACACGGCGAGGGGGCGGGGGGGCGGGGGGGCGGGGGGGTTATCCTACTGAATCTGATCGCCATCACTTTGTGGGGGACGATAGCCTTGCATGCGCGGGATCCTGCAGGACTCCGAGCTCGCTTTGTTCCTTCGGGGAAACGGTTTGGGATTTCTTGTATTCGGTTTTATCTGGGATTGTCATTTATTGTTGTTATTATCGTGATTACTACCGTTGTTGTTTTTTTATTATTGTTGTTACTATTATTAATTATTATTGTTATTATTATTCTCATCATCATCATCAATATTATTATTATTACTGTTATTATCATTATCATTGTTATTATTATTATTGTTGTTGTTGCTGTTGTTGTTATTATTTGTTGTTGCTGTTGTTATTATTATTATCATTATCATTGCTACTAGTTTTTTCTACTGCTTCTGCTATTACTAATATTCGCACTCCCCTCCTGTTCACTCTTCCTCAAATTTTCCTTCATAAACTGTCCATGAATTTCTTTAAAGCTAAATAGTCAGTGAAGTGTACAAGGAAGTTTAGCAGCTGTTATTTGTGTTTAAATTGCTCGAAAAAAAAGAAAGCCTTTCCGAGGAGTATTGATGAAAAAAAATTGTATTTTTAAAAATTTGATATAGAAGACAGGAGAAAGGTTATTGTAATTGACATTTATCTGAGTGGTTTGTGGATAGTTTATATGTGTATTTACGTGTTTTATTTCTTTAACATGACATTCTTTATTTATTCTTAAAATTCTTGTCTTGTCTGTCTGCTTGGATGCGCCTGAGATACTGAAGAGATCTGAAGTATTTATGCGAAAAAAAAAAAATGAAGATGGATTTTCAACAATTAAGATTTCCGAGAAAGACAAAATTATTTAGAGGACGCTTCTCCTCCTCCCCTTCATCTCCTCTCACTTTATCGCATGGTTTTCGTTTTCGAGATCTTCTCATATTTGTCTTTCTTTTTCTCTCTCTCTTTCTATTTCCCTATCGTTTTTTCTCTCCTTCTCCAATTTCTCTCTCTTTCTTCTCCTCTCTTCCTCTCTCTCGCACATTTTCTCTCTTTCTCTCCTCTCTGTCTGTCTGTCTGTCTGTCTGTTGTCTGTTCTGTCTGTCTGTCTGTCTTCTCTGTCTGTCTGTCTGTCTCTCTGTCTCTCTCTCTCTCTCTCTCTCTCTCTCTCTCTCTCTCTCTCTCTCTCTCTCTCTTCTCTCTCTCTCTCTTCTCTCTCTCTTCTCTCTCTCTCTCTCTCTTCTCTCTCTGGTCTCTCTCTCTCTCTCTCCTCTCTCTCTCTCTCTCTCTCTCTCTCTCTCCTCTCTCGTCTCTCTCTCTTCTCTCTCCTCTCTCTCTCTCTCTCTCTCTCTCTCTCTCTCTCTCTCTCTCTCTCTCTCTGTTCTCTGTTCTGTCTCTGTCTTCTGTCTCTTGTCTCTGTCTCTGTCTCTCTTCTCCTCTCTGTCTCTCTCGTTCTCTCGTCTCTCTCTCTCTGTCTCTCTCTCTCTGTCTCCTCCTCTCTCTCTCTCTCTCTCTCTCTGTCTCTCTCTCTCTCTCTCTCTCTCCTCTCGCTCTCTCTCAGTGTCTCTCTCTCTCTCTCTCTCTTCTCCTACTCTCTCTCCTTCTCGCGCTCTCTCTGCGTCATCTCTCTCCTCTCCTCTCATCTCTCTCGTCTGCTCATCTATCTCTCTCTTTCCTCTCCTCTCTTCTTTCTCTCCTCTTACTCTCTCTCTCATCTCTCTCTCTCTCCTGCGTCTCTCTCTCTCTCTCTCTTCTCTCTCTCTCTCTCTCTCTCTCTTCTCCTCTCTCTGTCTTTCTCTCTTCTCCTCCGCCCTCGTCCTGCTCCTCTCTGGTCTCTCTCTCTTCTCTTCATCGTCTCCTCTCTCTCTCCTCTCATCTCCTTCCATTCCTCCGTCCTCTCTCTCCCTCTCTCGTCTCTCTCTCTCTCTTCTCTCTCTCTCTCTCCTCTCCCTCCTCTCACCTCCTCTCCTCTCTCTCTCTCTCTTCTCCTCTCTCTCTTCTTTCTTCTCATCTCTTCTCTCTCCCCCTCATCTCTCTTCTCCTCTCTCTACTCTCTCTTCCTTCTCTCTCTCTCTCTTCTCTCTTCTCTCTCTCTCTCTTCTCTCTCTCTCTCTCTCTTTTTCTCCTCTCTCTTTCTCTCTCTCTCTCTCTCTCTCTCTCTCTCTCTCTCTCTCCTCTCTCTCTCTCTCTCTCTCTCTCTCTCTCTCTCCTCTCTCTCTCTCTCTCTCTCCTTTCCCTCTCTCTCTTTCTCTCTCTCTTCTCTCTCTCTCTCTCTCTCTCTCTCTCTCTCTCTAAATCTCTCTTCTTCTCTCTGCTCTCTCTCTCTCTCTCTCTCTCTCTCTCCCCGGTCCCTCATCTCCCTCTCTTTCCTCTTCCTTTTTCTCTCCCCCTCCCTCCCACCTCCCCCAGTCTCTCCCCTCCCTCCCCTTATCTCCCTTTCCCCGCAAGTGTCCCCGCCCTCTCGTCTCCTCTCCCTATCTCCCTCTCTGCCGCCAGACGCTCGCTTGTTACAGCCGTCGAGTGTCATGCAGCCTCATGACAGCATGATTGCCTCACCTCTCAGCACTCCCTCTTCACCTCTTCGTGTCCTTGTCCTTATCCTCCTTCTCTTGTTCGCGTTAACTGTATTTGTCTCTTTCTATGCTGCCGACTTTCGTTCTATGAGGGTAATTTTTTTTTTCTAGTAGCAGTTCATGATTTCCTTCTTATCCTTTGATTTCGCTTTCTTCTCTGTCTTTATCGTTTTCCTCTCTCCTGTTCTTCTTCCTGTCTTCCTCTCGTAAATTTGTCTCTTTTCTTCCATTTCGCTTCCTCCTTCTTTCTTGCTTTTATATATTTTTTCTTTTTTTTCGACATCCCCTCTCTCAATAGATTTCCTGTACTCCTCTTTCCTCCTTCTCCTTTCTCTTTCTTCTCTTTCTTTACCCCTCTTCCCCTTCCTCTTCTCCCTTTTCCCTTTGCCTCTCACATTTCTTCCCTTTCCCCCTCCCTCTTCTCCCTATTTCTCTTTCCCACTCCTTTTTACCCTTCTTCTTTCCCCGTTCTTCCTTCCTATCCCCTCCTCTGCCACCCCTGTCCTCCTCCTTCCTTCCCCCTTCTCCTTACCTCCCTCATCTCCTCTCTTTATCCCCTTCCCCTTACGCTTACCCCTTCCTATTTCTTCCTCATCTCCTCTCCTTTATCCCCTTCTCCCTTTTTCCCTCTTTCTCAACTCCCCGCCCCCATTTCGTGACACTCCGTTGAGCCTCATTGACTTCCTGAAGGCTCTTGGAGGCACTTACCCCCCCCCCCCTTCACTCCCACTCCCCCCCTCACTCCTCCTTTAAGGCTAG